GTCCAGAACTTGTAACAGCCATCTTTCTGATTTTGTGTGATGCCCTTTTTTGTGTTGTCGTTATTGCCGTGTTCTCGTCCTAGAGTTGAAGATGGACTGTGCAGCTTTCCTCCCCCAAAGCCCAGACTGCCACGACCCTGCTTGGAGAGTCAGGGGGGACTTCGAAAGCAGGTAACGATGTCCAGAACCGGGACTATTCTGAGATTTAGTGGGGTTGTAAGTCTACTTACCAACACCCCCTGGCCTTCCAAGTGGGCCCTAAGCCCTAATCCATAAACCCTGATCCCTAAACCCTAACCTCTAAGCCCTGATCCCAAAACCCTAAACCCTAGGCTTTGGACCTGACCCGAGATCCCCAGACCCCCATAGGCACTGGCATTTCTATTCCATCTTGTGCTCTAAGCCGTAAACCCTACACCACGGACTCCTTTCAAGTTTTTTGGGAGTTCACCAAACCAATCACCATGTTCCGTAAACCGTAAAGGGGCCCTTTAGACCACCCACTTGTTTTGAGAAGCCTAGCTAAATCATGCTAAGTCTTGGGCTCATTCCAACATGCGGGTTCCATGAGCCAGAGGTCCCTTCGAGAACACCAAAACATTGAGGATTTCAATCTTTTGGGGTTTGGGGGGCCCTAAACCCTACGTCTCTAGACCCTGCCTGAGGAAACTCCCACATCTGTTGGGGCCATGACGATCTAAACCCTAAACCCTGTATAACTTAGGAGGACCCCCCCCCCACCCTGTTCATGGTATAATAGGAACATAATGGGACCCTAATAAAGATAGAGTCCTTATTATCCCTTGTAGTCACTATTACAGGGCGGGGGTGTCCTCCTAACCTATACCCTGTTAGGGCCATGACGATCGGAATCGACCTCCTTCGCAAAGACAAGGGCGGAGATCCCGAGGCCTCGGGGAGTTCCTCCAAGCGTCCGCTTCAGGGGTTTAGGGTTTTTTTTGGGAGGTTTCCCAAAATTAGGGGTGCCTTCTTTTTGGGGGTCGCTACAATAAGGACTTGAGTATAGTAGGGTTTATGTTGGGGGTCCCCTGTTTTGGGGAAAGTACCTGTGGGGGCTGTGAAACATGTGCACATACAGATATATAAACGGCGATCGGGGTTTAGCTGGAGGGACGCTGAATCCGGTTGAATGCCCGATCAAGGTTTTGGGTTAAGGCTTTGGGGTTTACAGGTGTTACGTCCAGGTTGGGGTATTGATATGGCACATGGCTGGGGGGGTCAACGAGAAGGGGTCCCCTTCACGTCCTCATACGCCTAACATGCAAGAATCCTTGTTCCGGATACCTCCGAAGAAGCCCACATTTCCTGAAAACCCTCGTATTGCAGCAATAATACGATGAATAGTAATTACAGCAATACGAGTAATAGCAGAAAGAAAAAGAGGGATAACAGTACTATCCGTATGCAAGCGCTGTTGGATTGCCTTGGTTTTGTCGCTGGTTGATTTCGGATTGGCTGGCGACCGAAGACCCAGAAAGAGACATGTAGGGTTTGAGGAGCCTTAAACTCTAAACCCGACCCTAAATCCTACACCCTGAACCCTAAACCCTAAATCCTAAACCTTAAGCTCTGCACCCTACCCTAGACCCTAGCCCTAAGGATCGCAGCTAAGTGGCGTCTCCCGGAGCAGGACTCTTGGAGAAGCTTCGACAAAACCAGAAACAACCTAAACCCCAAACCCCAAGTGATGGGTTTGGAGCCCGATGGCTTCGCGATTAAAGGGGGTTTGGATGGAGTGGTCCATGTTGTCTACACAAGCCTTCCCAAATTCAAATTTCTTGGTGCCGGCCAGAACTGCCATATGACCCAAAGGTTAATAATAACAGTGATGGTAGTAACAGTAGTATTAACAGCAGTAATAGTAGTAATAGTGTTGACCCTAAAATTAAGATTTGGTCCCGTAAACTCTAGATACGCCCCAAATGCCTTTCTAGAATTCTAGAGGAGTTCGGACCATAGATCCACTCGGCTGCATCGGGTGGCAGGTGGTGAGGGAGTCGGAACGGCGGCGTTTCCGCGTTTTGGCTGCAAAGTCGAATCTTTCTGCCCACATGTGCTGGTTTCTTACTGGTTCCTGACATGGTGCTTACTGAAGTGTTTCAAGGTCCAGAAGCCTTGAAAATCCTACATAGTCTACTATAATCCCTAGAGAGCCCTTTCGAATCCTATAAAACCCCGTATCAGTGGATTTGAGGTTGGGGCTTAGGGTTTGGGGTTTAGGGTAGCTGTGCTTCAGTTCGCCAAGCCCGCCAAAAAGAACGAGTGCTCAAGTCACTGGGGGATAGTAGGGAATACAGGACTTAAACTAACTATCCTTCAAGGGCCTTTGTAAAGTGGTATTACAACTACTATTTCTTTTGGTAGCTGCTACTGGAAGGGGGAAGGACCAAAGGAACCCCTTATATAGGGACTATGTTCCCTTATTCTCTAGTAGCCACCAGTAAGTCATGTGATTTATAGTCTAAACTCCTTCAAGGCGGGGGTATATGTAGGCAGGGAAGTATGTGGGGGAGTACTACAGGGGTTATTAAGGTGGATACTAGGAGTTTAGGCTATAGCTTCTATAACCCCCTATATCATCACAGTTTCCATTTCATTTTCATTTTTTTTCCATTTGATTTTCCATTTTCGGGGATAATATCCCTATGGCTCAGGTGACCCCAAGATCGTGGACCAAGTCCTCGAGTTGGATGGCCTGTGGGCGGCCAGCTTAGTGGAGAGGATGGGGTTTGAGGGTTGATGTTTAGTTTAGGGTTAGGGTTGAGGGTTTAGGGTCAAGGGTTGCGAGCCAAGTTGAGGGTTAGGGTAGAGGGTTTAGGGTTCAGAGGTATTTGTTACCAGGGGTGGGGGTCTATAATACTACTTATGCTTGTGAGGACAGGGGGCTGGGGATCCTTCGGCTTTTGGGGTTCAGGGCTAGGGGTGGATGCCCACTACCTACCCGCCAAATGGGAGTTCATCAGAAAACTGGTGGCGGCTATGGTAAGGACTAAAGTCGTTTGGGATCCATGAAGTAGACCATTTAATCGAAAGTCTAGGGATCAAAAGAACTGTGGGTAAGGGGCCTAAACCCGAAACCCCGAACCCCAAACCCTAAATCCTAAATCTGCAGATGGAAAAAGGCCCGCAAATATGAGAGAAACCTAAACCCTAACCTTAACACGTAATCATCAGCCACGCAGCCATGGTCCCCAAATAATTATTTTTTATGGAAAAGTATGTTTTGAATATGGTCCCGAAAAAATGAAATTGGAGACCCCCACTTGGACAATTACGTTAAATAATATGGCTGCAGACATGGTTGAAGAAGCCTACCATGTTGGATGCGCATGTGCTTGTGTGGAGCCAGGAAGCATCTCAGTCAGAGGGTGATGTTGGTGACAACAAATTGAGCAGTTTCATCAGTGTCCGTCTGTCTCAGAAGGAATCTTCATAACTGTCACTCAATTTGTTGTTCCTCAAAAACTCAAGGAGAAGATTTGCAGGGCAGCGTTTGGGTGGATTTGGATTGCATTTAGGCCCATCTAGGCACAACAGCTGTGACTAGCTCACCAGTCAACACTGGGACAATGTTGGACCTGCCTGAGCTTTCCAAAAAGTCTGAGTGCTTTAGGGGTCTGAGACTAGGCCCTTCTCATCTACCCGAAGCCCTATGAACGCGAAGTGGGACCCCTTCAGCACAGCCACCTGAGCGAATTCCATATTGGTTTCCATATTTTTCCATATTTTTCCATATTTTCCTAGGGGGCCCAGATTCCCGAAAATATGGAAAAATATGGAACAAACATGGAAAACGATATGGAAAAAATATGGAAAAGATATGGAAAATATGGGAAAATATGGAAAACAATATGGGCAGAGACAGCCCCTCCCCAGGAATGGAGAGCCCCTCCGAGGGCCCCCAGAACCGCCTCCTTTTGTGATTCTCCCATTTAATCGAAATCAGATGAAATCATAAACGGATAAGACAAGAGTACAGTACTTGAGGTAGCCAAAAACTTGATGAGCCATGACAGGCAAAAGTGAAAATTTTCCATCCCTCAATGCCAGGCTTCCGTCCCTGCCAGAGATCAGAGATCCGAGCAAAACACCAGACTTGCAGGGACGGAAGCGAGAAAAAAGACCTGGACCACGTGACTGCGCACAGAGATTGCAGGCAGACTGTCAGCACAGCGATCCCAACTAGAACCCCAGGGATATTGTTCGGAGTAAACCTGTTTGTAGGGGCGTTTTGGGTCATATTTATTCCACATTTTCCATATTTTCAAGATTTAAGGTTTTCATATTTTTCCATATTTTTCCATATACAATAATTATTATAGGTTTTCTAGCCCTGGCTAGGATCCCCACGGGTTAACCCTAACCCCTAAACCCTAAGCCCTAAACCCTAAACCCTTCAGCCCTAAACCCCAAACCCTAAGCCTTTCAAGGGGGAGGATCCTGTAAGCCCAGGTCAAACAGAAGTTCCAGCTGGACGAGAAGCGCAAGGAGGCGGCTGCTCTCGGGACTTGGGGTTTCTAAGGACCTACAGGGACACATAGGATGTCATAGGATATGTAGCGGTGTCTACATACATATTTGGGCTAAAGCCTAAACTCCTTAAAGGGGTTATATGGGGATTATATAGGGGACTACGAAAAGGGTTATTAAGGGGGATACTAGGAGTTTAGACAATGGCTCATATAGGGGTGTATCATATCGGGGTGTATACATACATACATAGCGCTGAGGTTGAGGTTGCGGGGTTTCGGATTTCGGGTTCAGGGCTCTCGTCCCGATGCTCCTTCCAATGCGTGCGGCAAGCAGCTCGATTCCTACTCACCTATTCTAAGTCAAAAAAGGGGAGCCTCTAGGGCTTCTGGGCACCCTGGACATACCTAGGGGGCAAAAGGGGATGATAGTGGATTATCGCAGCCCCCTTAAGGACTATGTAGGACCCTTTGAAGAAGAAACCCTAGCGGAGCCGAATCCTTTGGCAGGTGAACAAGGTGCAAAGCCAAATCACAGAAAAGAAGAAGGCCTCAAAGGGCCAAGACAAGTGCCGGCTCCTCTGGGTTAGATCTTAGGTTCAGGGTTAGAGTTGCACTTGTACCCCTGCAGAACCGATTTTGCTTCAAAAGAAAAAGGCGGGCTCCATGGGGTCCAGCCACGGCTTAGGAATGTTTAGGGTGAAGAAGCTGGCAAATTACTTTTGATAGTTTCCCTGCCGGTATTCTTCAACTGCAATATGTGGCAGCGGAAGTCTCCTGCAGGGAGGAGTTTCTACGTGGGATAGTTAGGGATTAGGAGTGCATCTGTGGTGTTCTTACCAGGGGGTATCTACCGGGTTTTTGCAGGAATGCGAAAAGTGCGAAGATACAGTGGAAGTTTGAGCAGTTGGCAATGCCTTTGCCCTAGATTTGGCTTGGTTCTGCCTCCAACAGGTCTAAAGGCAAGCCACGTGTTTACTCAGAAAGCATGGGAGTTCTACAAATTGGCGCTTTCTGAAGTCAGAGCGCGGCATTTCAAACTTCTTATAGCCTCCCAACGGATTTTGTCCGAGCCTTGTCGCAAGCAGCATTTTGCCAAGAGCAAACTCACCCCTCAACTGAGAAACGCTCAGAATGCCCCTGTAGCTCCAATGGTCCAGGTGGAGTGGTTTGTAGTGGTGATCGCGTCCTCCTAGTATTGAAGCCCCCCGCCGCCTAAAGTTAAGTATTCCCAGAATACATACGCATATAATAATATGCCACGATGGGGATATTTATGTAAGGGGGGTGTTGATATGAGGGGGAGGGATTACAGACCTTCTTCCCCCAAATATGGACCCTTTTTGTGTACCCTGTACAAGCCGGCAAGATACAGTATCCTCGTCCTATCTTTGTTGAATAGATTGGGTGCCAAGTTTGGAAATTGCGAGCATGCAAGCCTGAAGAGCTACCATCCATGCTCCATCCTGAACTATAGTATCACATACCCCCAACCCTTATTCTATGTAGCCTACATCACCGTATGCGCCTACATGGCCTAGGCGAAGATCTGCTGCAGCAGAAGACCGCCCTTGAGGCAGCTGTGAAATTCTTGCAGCAGCTGACTTTGAGCTTTTGAATGGCAGCCTCCGAAGTTCAAGTGGGGTCGCTTTGCGGGGGTGATCGTATCAGGAGTCCCTGCATTTCAGGTGCACTCTTGAGACACCATATGTCGGAATTCTAGGCATGAATGCTATTTGAAGGGGGTTGGTAGCAGTAGTAGTAGCAGTGGTGGTGATGGTGGTAGTAGTGGTAGTCATAATGCATAATGGTAGTGAGGTCTTGTTCAGCTCCGAAGGAGAAGGGAACAAAGTTTGATGGTTGCAGCCTGCAAATGGTATCAAACTCCGTGGCTTCGAGATCGGAACTTGTTATTCTTAGTACAATTACGGTTACGATTACTGTTACCCTTACTTAGTATTATGCTTATTCTTATCAGTATTGCTAATCAGACACATTTCATCATGATCATTACTGTTACGAGTACTGTTTCGATGAGTTCCTTTCTATTCTTAGTACACATTAGTACAATGGATAATATGCTCATTGTGATTATTACTTGTTATTCTTGCTGTTTGAGAACCGTTGGCAGCTAGTGTTTCCAACATGGTAGTGCAGTTGATGCTCAGGGGTGACCAGTGGATATCTCCCGTCCAAAAAGGGGGGTCTCCTTGAAAACAAAAGGCTAAGCAAGATTTCCCGACTGGTTCACTTCGCCTGAGTCTGGTCTTTGATTCGATTCTTTTCACGATCAAGCTCGACCCACCTTCCTTGCGAGGTGGGAGGTGGGAGGGCAGTGGGAGAGGCCCAGCGCTCTTGTAGGCTGGAGAGGCATTCTTGCGTTTTAGTCACCTTCATCCACAATGACTCAAGGGAATCTTCACACCGCGGGAACCACCCAATCCACTGACCTGTGTCAAGCCCGAAAGCGCCTTGGGTCGGAAACGACGTCGTGGTGGTCATTTGATTTCACATTCGGAGCCAAAATCCTAAAAGTGTGTTAAAAATGTTACAAGTGTGCATTCAGGGCGAAGCGACAGACATCGAGAAGGTGGTCGAAGAGACCCAAGCCAAGAGGGTCGGATTCTGAGGAAGCATGCGAGTGTTGAGGTATTCGTGTACAAGCCTGAAAAATGAGGAGCATTTTGCCCCCTGTACGTTTTAACCACATTTAAGATGCCCCGGCAAACCTTGTTCTATTTATTTCAGCCTCATTGGGGGAGAAGGCTCCCCGCCAACACACGTGGCTTGCGAAAACTTGGTTAAGGACCTTAGGTTAAGCTACCATTTTATATGTATATAGTAAGTAATAGGGTGTCGCTACTATAACCATAATCAATGTAATTATAGTAAATACAAGGGTTTCCTTATCATAGTAACTTAGTTTAATTTCCCTAACAGCAGCCCAGAAAAGTATGGTTTCGGGCTCAGGTTTGGGGCTCCTAGGTTTGAATTAGGGACCATTCTGTGGCGAGAAGGGTTAAGCCTCAATATGAGCTGTAGTCTAAACTCCCTAAAGGGGGTTGTATAGGCGGATTATCTAGGGTTTAGGTTTAGGAGCTATAGTCATGAACTATAGTCTAAACTCCTTAAAGGCGATCAATAAGGGGATTATTTAGGGTTTAGGGTTTCGGGGCTACAGTCATAGGCTATCTAGTCTAAACTCTTTAACAGGCTTATATAGGGGATCCTATAGGGGAGTACTATAGGGTTTATTCAGGGGGATACTAGGAGTTTAGACTATAGCTCATATGATAGGTTGTCAAAGTTAGCCTCCTATTGTGGTTACCCCATTTATTCGGGGCCGTACGGTAGTGGGAACCCCAAAAAAGGGCAATAAATTTGACAACCTATCATATGTCTTCCGAGTGTCATACTTTAGCATCCCGGGTGGATACGGCTTCTTTCATGAGGGGCTTTTAGCGACCCCAGACTCTGTAGCAAGGACCCTGTAGCTATCATACCATGATAGTAGGGTCGTACCTTTAGGGCCTTAGGGGTTGGGTAACTAAAATCCCATGTTTCACCCTGGGCGTTGCTAACCCTAAACCCTAAACCCTAAATTCTAAACCCTAAATCCTAAACCCTAAATCCTAAACCCTAAATCCTAAACCCGAAGCCCTGACGCGTTCAACCGTCTTGGAGAAGCTCCTCCCAGCCAGGACAAGCTCCTAGGGGCCATCGGAAACCTTGCCCGGTCCTGAGCAAAGACGTCCGGGCTTAGTGTTTAGGGGTAGAGGGGTTTAGGGATGTTTAGGGTGTAGGCATTTGAGTTTAGGGTGTGGGGTTTAGGTATTAGGGTCACGGGCACTTAGTCTTTGTGGTCATAAACCTTGTTAGCCACATGGGAACGCCAGCCATCCGCATTTTCTAAGTCCCCTGAACCTCCAAGTAGGGTTTCGTTTTTCGGAAGTTTGCAGGGTTCCGTCATGTTTCAATCGTGGGTGTTGGGTGTAGGTGAGCTGAGGGGTTTGAGATTGACGTGTTTGGGATGCGAAGATAACGTTCAAGGTTCTCGGCAGAATGCAGCAGGAGGAGCTTCACCGAGGAGCTGGTTCAGTCGCGTAAGTTGTGTTGTCAAAGCCGTATATACCTGCGGTTACCCGGCATTTTTTACGCCTGTTGAAGTTATCATTGACCTTGTAAAACAGGAGAGACGCACTCCTTTTGCGGAGTCGAGTCCCAGGCACTACTTTAGGGAGCAACCTCAAGGTCCCCAAAGCCCTATGATAGTTGCCCGTTGCCCTAAATGAGCTATAGTCACTATAGTCTAAACTCCTGAAGGGGGGGTATTTATAGGGGACTATTATAAGGGCTATTAAGAGGGATACCAGGAGTTTAGACTATAGCGCAGATTGGGAGACCCCAATATACCCCAATACGCTATCATCCTGATAATGGGGATCCCGCAAATGCCCTAAACCCTTCCCGGCAGTATAAACCTTTTGCCGACCACGGTTGTCAACACGATCTTCACACTGGCGGTTAGTGGGCCTCGCATGAAAACAAAAACACGGAAGCCATCCTGCTGTTGGGGATTACAAAGCAGGATATGTTGACTTCAGGCACGTCAAGATGTATGTCCACCCTAAAAGGTCCATGACAGCGTGCCCGTCTCCCAAGACGAAGACAAGGACAACAAGGCCAGCTGCATTCCGAGGTTTCGAGCATCCAGCATTGACTTGCAATTTTCACGACATCATCATGACAATACATGTCCTCAATGGAGATGGCTACATCTCCTGAGGGTCTAGAGTGCACGTAGAATACCCTAAGCCCTGAAACCCCTGTGCGCAGGTTGTGGCAACCTGGGGCATTCCTCGCAGCTTCGAGGGGAAGACCTACCAGGCGCCCCGTCAGAGCGTAAATGCAAACTGTGCAAGATTGCGCGAAGGTTTTCTTGGTTTAGGCAAATTATCCACCGCAAAAAGCAAAGCAGAAGCAAATGGAAAAGATTATTATTGAAAATGATATACAAGCTGGGATTAATAGTAGTCTATTGGGTGTCTGACTTATGTTTTCTTGAGTGCAGTCTTTCATGTGATGGGCCGTATTGGGGATCCCAGAAACGACCATGATTTCGACATCCTTCCAGAACTCCGTGGCCGCGGTCGGTATCATTCTGCTTGTGCGGAGCATCATTTCCGAGATTCCGGCGAGGTAGGATCCCTAAACCCTAAAACCCAAAACCCTACAATCCCAAAACCTTAAAACCCTAAGACACCAAAACCCCAAATTCCCAAAACCCTAAACCGCTTCCCCGTCGAGGGTTGGAGGGACGAGGCTTGAGGCGGAAGCTGCCGTTAGGGTTTATTATATGAGCTACAAGCTAAACCCCTGAAAGGGGGTTATATAGGGGATTAGGGTTTAGGTTCTGAAATCCGTAAATGGGTTTGTAAAGGGGATTGAATAAGGGAGTAGGACCACAGCAAAAAAAGAAACGCACTCGGCTTCCATAGCAAAAAATGAACGGGCCCGGCCTGCACAGCAAACAAAACAAGCGCCAGGCCTCCGTAGCAAAAAAACCTCCGCAGCAAAAAAAAAGCATTCCTACCTAAGGGAGTATTATAGGGTTATCAAGAGGCATACTGGGAGTTTAGACTATAGCTCATGGAGGGGTCACGTTGGGATTGTTTAGTAGTACAAGAGAATGGAAACTACCTTTTCGGGTTTCTCTCAGTGCAACAGCTTGATGTCGTACCCAGCGCAAGGGTAGCCGACATCCAAAAAGGCCGATCTCAGAAAGGCTCTGCGAGAGCCAGCCAACCCAGTGCCTCAATTGAGTAGTTTTTTTGGAGATACTATGGTACCCAATATAGAGTAAGATTATATCCTCCCTTTGGGTATAGTATTTTATATAATTAAGGAAGATTATCTTAGTGGGTTCAACCGCCAAAAAACACTACTCAGTTGTTCAGGCCTTGAGGCTTCATCATCGCCATTTCCGAATTCAGAATGCAAACGGTTTAGTCCTTCATTGATTCATTGACGGTCGCAGGACACAAAACCTCCACCCTGAAACCTCAGCCACTGTGTAGTGTATGTAACGATGTTCCAACTCCCTCACCATAATTACATCCGAGGCTTCTATAGCCAATGGTGAGCCCTTCCATGAATCCAAGCCGCTTTTTGACAAATCCTCTCAGTCAACAGGTTTTCTTGTGTGATGCATACGTTGCCGCGTCAAGCCTCTTCTATCACCCCCCCGCATCTAAGCCCTGAACTGTCAGCCGTACACTGAAAGCCCTGAATCCCAAATCCCTAATCCCTCCCAACCCCCCTAAATCCCTAAACCCTAGACTCTCTACCCCCCTAACCCCCTTAATCCCCTCCCACCCCGCCCCCCAAGAAACCAAACGCACAACTACACAACACCAAGGCCAACGGCTTCCGGCCCCACTTCGAGCTTCTGGAGATGATCGGGGCTGTGGAGTTCGATGCTGGGCTGGAGGCCAGTCCTGCGTTGGCTTAATTGGTGTTCTGCTAGGGGAGGAAAGGGGATCATGTATAGGAGCACATATAGGCATGCGGATCTTGCTAGGCTTTGTGGGGTTAGGGGCTGCGGGGTCTGAGGGTGTTTGGGTTTAGCGTTCAGGGCTTTGGGGTCTCAGTGTGCATCGTTTGGGGTTGTGGGTGTGAGTCTTGGGTGTTGCAGCTTAGGGGTTCGGGGGCTAGCGTCTCTTTTTTCAAATGGCAGGGGCATCAAATTGATGCTCTTCTGGAGCTGCATTCCTGGGTTTAAAAGTCTTCCGGTTGAGGTATTAGCTCATCTGGGTCTTACGGGACTGAGAGAAAGGGAAAAACCTTATATAAACCCAGATGCAACCCCACTTCCCATTCAATTTTCCACGGCCTTTCCATCTTGACCCCAAGGTTTACTATAATAAGTGTAACCCTGTATAAAATAGTAGTTTCCATTCTATTTTCCATTATCCCTATATTAACCCCAATATAACCCTAAACCCTAAACCCTATTATAGTAGTTTCCATTTTCTTTTCCATTACCCCAATATATAACCCTAATATGACCCCAACCCTAAACCCCAAAACCCTATAACCCTAAACCGTAACACCCTAAACCCTCAAGCCCTAAACCGTAACACCCTAAACCCTCAAACCCTAAAACCCTAAACCCTCAAACCCTAAACCGTAACACCCTCAACCCTCAAACCCCAAAACCCTAAACCCTCAAACCCTAAACCGTAACACCCTAAACCCTCAAACCCTAAAGCCCTAAACCCGGGGCCTCGTAATGCCATCCCTCCTGGGCCAGCACCCTGGGGTCGTTGATGGCCCGGGGATGGAACACCTGGGGTGTAGGGTTTTTTTTTTGGTCAGACCTTTTCTCCCAGCATGATCCTAAGAGGGGTTTAGGGTTTAGGGCTTGGGGTTTTGGGTTTTGGGGTTTGGGGTTTTAGGATTTTAGGGTCTAGGGTTTGGGGTTCAGGGTTGTCCAGATTCAACTTCCTTGCTCGCAGGGTCCAAGTACCCGAACAATGGGGCTTCAGGTCCCAGTTATTATGATGTGAATGGTTTTGGATGGCCGGAAGCCCAAAATTTTGGGCACCTGGACCCTAAACCCTAAACCCTAAATTGTTTGGGGCTGACTAGCTGAGAGATTTCCATCTGTGGCCTCTGCAGTTTAGGTGATCAAGGTGATTAGGGACTCTAAATGTCGTTTGTAGTTGAATTTATCACTTCAGAAAGCAAGAGGTTCTCGCAGTTGTGCGGTTTCACGACTAAGGTTAAGGGTTTATGGTTAGGTGCGCTTGCCTCTCATCAGTTGTCACTCGTTGTCTGTATGGCTGCGCCACCAGAATCTGACAATATGTCATATCATAGCTCCGAACCTTTTTAGCCTGCTGAGCGAAGAGACAGCACACAGGGCCCATCATTTTGGGAAAGTGGGCCGCACGGCACCCCACAACGCAAAACAAAGAACACTCTTGACCAGCGGCTAGTGGCGCAATGCTTCTGCTTGGACTTCCTCAACCCTGAACCGAAACCCTGAACCCGAAACCCTCTCACCAAGAATTCTGGAACTGGCAATGTCCTTCAAACAGAGCCCATGAATGGCCCATTACAAAACTGTGTTTCTGTGTTGGGTTCCCGCTACAACGCATCCTCTAATGTATGGGCTACCCCAAAAAAGGAACCGTAAGTTTTGCAAGCCTTGCACTCTTGCACTTGGCACATCAGGTTACAATGAGGGAGGCGTCGACCTGGAAATTCCTGTAAATGCGTGCGCATTCACTCCACAGGGCAGGGTTGTCTTGTCTGGACACCCCAAGAAATACGGTTCAACCTTCTCAACTCTAGGCATCCTGTAATGCTCTATCAAGACTCAGCACTATCGTAGTTGACATCCTGTCTGGGGTGCCCTTTCTGTACCTAATCTGAAACACATACCCCATAAACTTGTGATAATCTGGTAGGCGCTCTCTGTGTTTCGTTGAACCCCATTATGAGCCCCTTCCCCCGTACACCCATCCCCCGTACAATCCTTACGCTCAGCCCTAAACTCTAAACCGTTTGAGGCGCTCTACCTGATTCAGCTGAATGCTTCTGGGCTGCAGCATCAAGATAGACGTCGATGAGGTTGTAGAAGTCCTGCAAGAAATGGTATTAGTTAGGTGGACCCCCC